CTGGGTAGAGTGGTTAGGTGCTCTGTGTTTTGAGGATATAGAGGTTCCTGGAGGGGAGTTTTGGGTTCCTTTGCTGTGGTAAAACCTTCCTTACTGTGATATCCGAGGAGCTGGTCAAGTGCCTCTTAAAATGGATGTTTTCCTTTAACAGGCATATGTATGAGGCACTTTTTGCAAACAGCTTCAGCTGTACAGTTTTTTTTTTTAGCCATTAGATTCTGTGCATATGAATGGAGATTACAGCTGTTATGCAAATCTGTCTGACAGGTCTAGGGCATCCACACAAAAAAAAAACAAAAAAAAAAAAAAAAAAACAGAGTGGAAGGTAGTTGCTTAGTTAAAAAGCAGGATCCTGGTCCAGTTAGTAGCAGTTTGGCATACTGCAAGAGCTGGTTGCAGGGCTGCACCTGCAGGATTAAAGAGCCTGACTGTAGAATCTTTGAAAGGAGGAACATCTGTCTGTAGAATATTTGAAAGGAGGTACAGAGAGATATTGAAGGCTGAGTTGGAAAGAACCACAGTGATAGACCACTACTTTGTAAACTTTCCACTGCATAGAGCTTGGCAAAAAAATTTGAGGGGAAAAAAAACAAATTCCTGACTGGAGTGATCCAATTGTCCTAGACTGCATATTGTGTTCATCAACAGGGAGGGTTTTGAAAGACTTTGCAGGTCTACCCCAAAAGCAGCATCCCAAAATGGAGGAAAATCAAGCTGCACAATGCCAATCTCTAGCAGACTGCAGCAATGAGCCTTTTTACGTTCTCAAGCTTGTTGGATGAAGCTCCCTTTTCAATATAGCCACATCCTGGAGATAAAAATATTTGGCAGCTTCCTCCAATGAGGTCTCAAGGTCACAATCATTCCCTTCAGTGTCTCCCTGGTTTAGAGCACCATATCAGGATCTCAGAAATCAAAAGTAAGAGAAAAGACACGCTCTTTGAGCCCTGGGCAGCAATGGCTATATTAAGGCTATTTGTCTAACAAATTGAGAAAAATGCAGAAAAAAAAAAGGCCGCTTGTCACATGCCTGAAATACCTAGAATCAGATGCAAAGATCGGCAGTGCAAAGGTTCATATGCGGTTTTGCAATGGTTCCCTTTCGATTGGACCACCGCCATAGCTATGTTTGAAGGTATTCCCCTCTGGGATACTCACAGAGTAGGGTGTGAAATATAGACTAAGCAGGTCCTGAAGAATACAGTAACTTGCATACAGAGACTGTCCTGTAGCAAATCCTTGTGGTGAAAAGGTGAGAGGAAGCACCTGAGTACCACATAAGATCTCTAGGTGAAAATGGCAGTAAAATGTGCAAGGTGTGATCCATATACAAAAAAAAGATGGCATGCTGCCCAAAGCACAGATTTTTTGTTTTTTTTTTTTGCTTGGATTTACACCTGTGGTGTGATGTCCTAGCTGGTCATCTACCCGAGACGAAGCTCTGAGTGGTAGAATTTTTAAACCTGAAAACATTTCACCATTGTGAATATAATTCAAATATCACTAACAGCAAAATCGGAATCATACAAGGTGACTCATCTTACCTGTCTACAACTCTGAACTGTAAAGTTCTTGCTTCGCCCATCATGGTGGACATACCCACCGAACTTCTACAGGGGCTTTGTTCCATAGGAATGGACCACAGCTATGGACCTGTAGAGCAGCCTACAGCTGACTACACACATTGCCCCAAGTGCAAGGTGACCACACCCATGCACAATCCAGTGCATGAAGCAACATCACAGGGTCCGGATACAGCTCCCAAGATTGACTAAAGTCAAGCTGATCCAGATGCACTGCTTCTATTTGTGACATTAGAAAGCAGCAAGGAGTCAACTGAAAAATCAAAGGAGTCAAAAAGGGAAAAAAAAAAAATGTGGTTTATCACTCGCAAAAAACTGAACTCAGAGTGGGGTAGGGCTATAGGGTAGACACTCATGGGGCATGTCCAATCACTTGAGGGTACAAACCTATAACTACCCATTAAGGTACAGTCTACCAGATCTGCAAGGGCTTAGGTTTTTTCAGCATCATGTCATGGTTTCTCAGATTTGCAAGGCTGTTACCTGGTTTTCTTTTCACATGTTCTCCAAGTTCTACCAGATGGACGTTTTGGCCTCATTTAATGCCGGCTTCTGGTGTAGGGTCCTTCATGCGGCTCTTTAACAGGCCCAAGCAAGAACAGCACTGGGTATTGCCTGCAGCTTAATGTTTAACAATTCAGCTTGATTACACTATATTGCCCAAACTATTGGAGTACCTGCCTTTACACGCACATGAACTTTAATGGCCTCCCAGTCTTAGTCCATAGGGTTCAATATTGAGTTGGCTCACCCTATGCAGCTATAACAGCTTCAACTCTTCTGGGAAGGCTGTTCACAAGGTTTAGGAGTGTGTCTATGGGAATGTTTGACCATTCTTCCAGAAATGCATTTGTGAGGTCAGGCACAGATGTTGGATGAGAAGGCCTGGCTTGCAGTCTCTGCTCTAATTCATCCTTTGTTCTAAATCAGGTTGAGGTCATGGCTGTGCAAGCCAGTCAAGTTCTTCCCCCAAACTTGCTCATCCATGTCTTTATGGACCTTGCTTTGTGCACTGATGTACAGTCATGTTGGAACAGGAAGGGGGCCATCCCCAAACTGTTTCCACAAAGTTGGGAGCATAAAATTGCCCAAAATGTTTTAGTATGCCGATGCCTTAAGAGTTCCCTTCACTGGAACTAAGGGGCCAAGCCCAACCCCTGAAAAACAACCCCGCACCATAATCCCCCTCCACCAAACTTTACACTTGGCACAATGCAATCAGAAGCGTGATTAATCACTCCAGAGAATGAGTCTCTACTGCTCGAGTCCAGTGGCGGCATGCTTTACATCCTGTATCCAACGCTTTGCACTTGGTGATGTAAGGCTTGGATGCAGCTGCTCAGCGATTGAAACCCATTCCATGATGCTCTCTAGGCACTGTTTTGTGCTAATCTTAAGATCACATGAAGTTTGGAGGTCTTTAGCTTTTGACACTGCAGACAGTTGGTGACTTCTGCGCACTTCAGTTGACCGTGGAATAGTTAGTAGCGAGGAAATTTCACAGATAGACTTATTGCATAGGTGGCAATAAGTCTATCTCGGTACCATGATTGAATTCACTGAGCTCCTGACAGCGACCCATTCTTTCACAAAATGTTTGTAGAAGCAGTCTGCATGCCTAGGTGCTTGATTTTATACACCTGTGGCCATGGAGGCGATTGGAAAACCTGAATTCAATGATTTGGAGGGGAGGGTGTCCGCAATTTAGTGTACTTTTCAATGTCCTGACAGGCTTACCTGCAACTTGCAATGGAAGAACACGGGACCCCTGCTCTAATATTTGATGCAAAACTGAGGCATTCTGGTAGTAGAAAGGGTTATCATGGGCTGGCCTACAGTTTGTTTATGAGTGTCTAATCCTCCTGTAGCAGTAAAAACTGAAGTCTAAAAACACCCTGTACCCCTCAAATGGACATTAAATTTGTTCATTTCAATCTGCATCTCTCAAACTGACTTCAGTTAAAAACCAAGAGCTTGCTTTATGACTTTAGGATAAACCCCAGCGACAATCCCTGACCAATAAGATCTTGCTCATGCCCACTGAGGCACACAGACTAAGGGCTTCATTCCATAGTTAGAGAAACCAAATCTATGTTAAAAAGGAAAACCAATGCATACTGTTGCATGGAAAAAGGCTCTTCTAGCTAAAATTGGAACAGGCAAAATTGTAGCATTGGTCTCAGGCAGCACTTTAAGAGTTTAAAAACAGCTGACAGGGTACCTATCCTCAAAGCCCTTTACTTTCACGAGTGGTTTATTTTTGGCTTGTTTGCAGTGGCAACCTTTTTTGCTGCTCAGTATTACTGTGACATTTTCTGAGAGGTATACATCTATGACTACTGAACTGTTTTTGCACAATCATATCAGATAGATATCTATCTATATATACACACACAGCTTTTTTTTGCTTTTTTTCTTTTTTAAACAAGAAAATTATCAAAATTAAAACATACAAGCTGTGTGGTTCCTTCTGTTTTAATAATAATAAAGGCAAACACTTGTTTCATATAAATTGTACTGTACATGTGCCAAACCCAGACAAAGTCTCCCTTTATACAAGATCACAAGCAAACATTTAATAACTAGAAAAAGGGAAAGTCAGTACAAAAAAATGCACAAAAAAGTGACGGTTGGATACCTGTGTCGGCAGAGGAAGATTTTAAAAATAAAAAGGAAAATCCTTCTTTGAGGGAGGGGATCATAGGTCATCTTCCATTCTGTCAGTCCTTGCTGGTAGCATTTGTATAGAGGCAGGCAAAGTTGGAGGTGCTGGTGGTTTTTTTTTTTTTTTTTTTTTTTCCTTTTAAGGGTTTTATTCCAGCTACAGAGGTACCTCCCTATTGTGTTTATGCATTTGGGGCACATTTAAAAGGAGCAATTGAAATATACCTTCTAAACACAGTAGGGTGCGGGATTTAACATCCCTTAAAATATAAATTTTTCAAGGTCCTGGAGAGTGGACATTATAAACTCTGCCAGTGGTGCAGGAGTTTCAGAGGTCACTTTTTGCAGAACCCACAACACTGAAGTTCATTTTAAGTCCTCCTCTGGCTGAACACTAATAAGTGCCTTGACAGGAGTGTGTGCAGCATTGCCACCAATACATCATTAGGCAGCAGCAGTTGAAGAGTGTAGTAGGATAGCACTATTTTAATAAATACTACACTAAATCAAAGTTCTCTTGGCTGCAGCACACATCCAATGTGGGAAAAAAACAAACAAAAAAAAAAACACGGAATTAGGAGGGGGAGGGGGTACAGGAACACACATCCAAATATTTAAGGGGCCTCTCAATCAAGGTTGATATAATCCTGATAAAGCATGTTTGGTCTCTAAAATAAGGGTAAACTTCCAGTTCTGTCCCCATGATCCTCTCTCAAACCCGTCTCCCATCCTCCCTCCTTTTTAGTTCAGTCCTCATTTCTTTCGTTTGCGCCCCCGGCCATTGCTTTCTGGTTCTTGTTCAGGAGCCTGACGCTTACGATGTCTTCTCTGGTACAGGTGTCCTGGAAGGTGTTTGGTGAGGAGGTCCCGTGCACACTGCTCTGTTTTCTCTAAACAGGATAATTGCTGGGACTCTGGCTCGTAGTACAGCTCAGCATTTCCAAATACAAGCTTCAGGTCATTTACGAATTCTTGAACTGTCTGATAGTTGCCACAGGAACACTTGCTTTGCATTGTCTGGAAGTCCATAGGGGTTGTTACCACTTTCAAATAGTTTTCATCCTCATCCGTATTGACTGGCTCCCTGAAAAGTAACAAATATATAGTCAATGTAAATTTTAGGGGGCATTCTAAAATGTGTGTCCGAGTGCTCTGAGTTAGGTCTGGTCTGCTATAAACACCTAGAGAAGTTCACATATGCACTTTATAGCAGAACTCCCCCCAAAAGGGGAAGTTTCACCGTAAGGGTGGTGGTGGTGGGGGGGGGGGTATGGTGGTGTTTGAGCAGGCACCGGTTTTTGACAGGCTCCCACTTCCGCTTGGGACCATTTACATGGGAAGTGGGCACTTGACTGTGAAGCCACAAGCTGTCATAGCCAGGTGCCCACAGTTAAGATGCCACGCAGAAGCCCGAACACATTCTCTGGTGCCCTCGGGTGAGCACATTGCTGGATCCTGGTACAGGCAAGTGTTTGATTATTAAAAGTCAGCAGCTTTTAATCCTCCTGCTGCCCCTTGAGACCTCGGGAGATCTGATCTTGAATTCTCATAAAAATAAGGATGAGCAGGGCAAAGGAGAGATTAGGAAGGGCACAAATATAATCAAACAGGCAGAATTACATCTGTTAAAAAGAATTTCCAGTAAATGATCATCTGCAGTGTATGTGCTGACAGACCCTGTGAGCACCTTCATCAGCAGTGTAGCTGCAGTGTGTGCCACTCCTGGCACTCTGTGGAGCTGACAGGTATATTGGAGACCGACTGCAGAGGCTACAAAGACTGCAAGGGAGGTTTCCAGAAATGTGCTGTGTAACTAGAGGAAGGGGGGTGGGGAGTGGTAGTTGTGTGTTGTTCGAGCAGGCACCTGTTTTTGACAGGCTCCCACTTCCGCTTGCATCATCACACAGTCTTCTGGTACAGGTCACAGAAAACTGTGGGACCATTCACAATGCGCAGCGCATGGGCAGTGGGCACTCGGCTGTGAAGCCACAAGCTGTCATAGCCAGGTGCCCCACAGTTAAGATGCCACGCAGAAGACCAAACACATTCCCTGGTGCCCTCGGATGAGCACATTACTGGATCCTGGTACAGACAAGTGTTTGATTATTAAAAGTCAGCAGCTACTGTTTTTGTAGCTGCTGACAATTTTCAGAAGACTGACTGGAGCACCTCTAAGTCTCATACAATACAAATCTTAGCATGCCGAGTTTCCCCCTATTCCACCTGTTTTTTTTTAAGACCAGGTTACAGTTTGTACACTCACCTGAAAGGCCAGCTGAAACGGTACTTTATGAGTTTACATAAAATCTCTTCACACTTTTGGAGCTCCTGGTTCTGACGCCGAGAAGCTGGCTTACTCCGACGTATCTGGAAGATGAAGACCAAATTATTGGATATAAACTTTTAAAAGGAAATATCAGGAAAGGAATATGGGAACTGCAATTTCTGACTTGTTTATGAGGATTAAATGCCTGAGATAGTCATCCATATCCTTGGATTTACTTTTGGAAATCAGTAACTCAGAACATACATGTGTAAAATTTATATATACACACACACACACACACACACACACACACACACACACACACACACGTTTCTCTCATTCATCTACTAGGAGTTTTAATTTGCAAGTAGAAAATTTCTTCATTGGGTGCTAGGGAGAAAAAAAAAAAAAAAGTTGTGCATGTAAAAGGTCACATCCTGATCTGAAACAGAAACCATGGAAGAGTAGCAGGACTCAGTATAGCCTGTGGCCCCCAGACACAGTTTGCTGCTTGTCTAAGGTCTGTACTGGCAACCTAATAGGACTGTCACCAGATTCTGACTGACAGACATTTCCAAGATATAAAATTAAAGACCGTCAGGCAGTATTTTTGTTTTTTAAATAAAAACTGTAAAAGCTTTACCCTAACCAATTAAATCCCTAACAGTATCAAGGTGCAAGCAGAGAATATAATCATTACGCGCAATCTAGTTCATTTAGATCATGTATCAACATGGAAAAGATCCTCAAAACATGAACTTTGTCCTAGGTGTAGGCACACAGTCGGAATTAAAGTGGAACTACATTGCATCTGAGCACACCAAACCAAAAGCGCCATTTAATAAAAAAAAAACTCACCCATCCACGTCTCCATGATTTATTTTGCTGAAAAATAACTTAAAAAAAAAAAAAAAAAAAACCCACCCCCCCTAGCATTTCTGGCTGTGCCCATCTTGAGTAAGGGCAGAGGATTCATGTAGCACTTATTTCTTGGAATCCATCTGCCGTTCATCAAGATATACAAGCAGTAGGGTGTGCTTAGCTGAGAAAACCTCATCTTCAGAAGACATCTGGGATGTATGACATTTGCCTAGGCATGGAAATTAAGTGACTAAAGAAATGTGAATAGTTTAACACAAGTAAATATTCCTTTCCTATTCATTTACTAATACTGGTAGCATAAGGATTCAAAATAGCCAATGTTGATAGAGTGAAGTTCCACTTTAAGGTCCATAAACACATGACATAATCCTCCTGCTGCTCCTTGAGACCTCGGGAGATCTGATCTTGAAATCTCAAAAACAAGAATGAGAAGGGCACCGGAGCGATTAGGAAGGGTACAAATCTATTCAATTCAAACATAGGCATAATTACATCTGTTAAAAATAATTTCCAGTAAATGATCATCTGCAGTGTAAGTGCTGACAGAGCCTGTGAGCACCTTTATCAGCAGTGTGTGCCACTCCGGCACACTGTGGAGCTGACAGGTATATTGGAAACCGACTGCAGAGGCTGCAAGGGAGGTTTCCAGAAATGTGCTGTGTAACGAGAGGAAGGCAATGCATTTCAAAGGCCTAATTGTTCCTGCACCCATCTCTTCCTTGCTTTATGCATAGTAACAGCGACTGAACGCACTTATTTGCTGAAAATCCAGTTTCAGCGTTTTCCCATATTAAAATCTAAACACAGCTTTCAAATGGAATAAAAGTTCTTATACCTCTATGCACACAAACTGAAATAAAATGGAAGTTACTTACCACCTCCTCTACATCCGCTTCATTTTCTGGTGAAGCTTGCCGACGAGACTGCCGCGAAGATTGTTGATTCCTGCCTGGTGGGCGCCCACGTGTACCTGTCCGAAGTTTTCCTGCTTTTCCTTTAACTGCTTTAGAAGAACGCACTAAACAAAAAAAAAAAAAAAAAAGTGGTAAAAGCAGGTCATTATTTTGGTACAATTAATTGCTATAATGCTTAATAGCAAAAGTGGGGAAGACCAGAAATGTCAAATTTAGAACATGTCAGGGGATGTTTCAGGTGTGTTCATGAGCAATCGAAAAAAATAGGTCATAATTTTCGTCAGCTGCATGTTCCCATTGACGAAAAACTAAAATGAAAATTACTCTGAATTTTCGTCAATTGACATAAATCAAATAAAACTTTCATCAACAAACAATGGAACAAAAATGTGAGGGAGGAATGTTTTACTTTTAAAAGATGTTATTCAACAGCTAAATCTGTCTGCGTAGTTTGTTCAAACCTTAATACCATAAACAACATGTTTTTACACTTTGTACTCCAGGAGTATAAAAAGGAGTATGGACATTTTTGAGCAATGCTTAAATAATGCATTACAATTTAACTAAACCCATTAGATTTTAGTTACCTAAAATCTGCAGTACATTTTAGTCTGCTAAAATAATTTTAGTTGTCTAAAACACAACTAAAATGGTATTTTAGGCAAAAGACTGACTAAAACTAAATTTGATGTCAATTAACACTGCTTGTGAGTCCCTCCCATAATACCCAGACGTTAGTATTTATAAGTCGTGTGTACAATAATCAAAAATAGTGCAGCGCTTGAAGCAATACTACGTGCAATACAGAAACTGTGCTCACATACAAATGTGTCAATATTAAATATAAATATTAAAATATGTTAAATCATTAAATAAATGTATCTTAAATATAAAGTGCCACTCAAAATGATCACTGTTTGGGTATCAGTTTAAGTGCTGGCAGCCTTCAGTAGGTAGACTTCCTTTCAGCGCAGGAGGATTCTTGTCTGTATTTCAGTATTTATAAGTCACAGTGAAGACTAAGAAGGTGAACATGCTCATACTTTAAGTATTCACCATCATCGCCCCATAACCCTAGTACACATAATTAAGAAAAATTAAAGGCTCGTGAAGTCTTTATGAATATATATATATATATATTTTATTATTTTTTTTTTTTAATAAAGATCATGTAAAGCAAACCTCCTCAAAGCCACACATTTTAGTTATAGGGGAGGTACAAAGCTTCCATAAAATTAAGACTTCTCTGGAGTGGACAACTGGAGAGGGAAAAAAAAAAAAAAAAAAAAAAAAAAAAAAAAAAAACACATTTGTTCTCTACTTCATCCCCCTCCTGACTTAATGGCTGTGATACAGCTGCTGTCGGTGAGAGATGAGCAGAGAACAAAAAGAGGGCCACACAGCAGGATCTCGCAGTTGCCAAGTTAATCAGTAGGAACTTAACCAACACGAGGTAGGAGGCAAACACGTGTCGTGTTACTACTATATGGGCTAAACACTGAACTTTAATGCCTGTTGCCTCTCTGTAACTGCATACTCCAAAGAGGCGGCTGTCACTGGCCCTGAAACGATGATCCTGTTCGATCCCTATGCTTTCATCTTTATGTCCCACACTCACACACAAACGTGTCTCTTGTAAATGAAACTGTGGCCGACAGCATGTCATGCAAGCAGTTTCTGCGTGCTAGGGCCAACAATCCCCCATTCTCTGAAGTCCCAGGGGATTGCATGGCTTATTGGCAGCGTTAACTCCTTCACCATTAAAAACTACTACAAGTCTTGAAAAGCAAATCAAATAGTACAAACCAGGATGTACCAAGTTAGTTGGCGGAGTTGTCCTCAGAGGAAAAAGCTTTAGTGTAATCAAACGGTAAAAACATTTAATCCATTTATAATAAACTGCATTCATTGCAAATACTAAATATGCTATTTGATGCTGCAAACGGATAATCAAGCAATGGCTTAGCTATTAAAAAAAAACAAAAAACAATCGGGCAAAAAAATGATCCAAGTTGCCCACTACAATCATGGCACACTGGCAATACTACCAAAAGTGCTGACCATCATTAGGAACATAAATAATGGATATAAAAAGCAACTAAGTTAACGCCATAATAAATTTCTCTAAATTCTGACAGTCCATTAAAAGGTAATCTGTCACAATGGTGGTTTAATGTCCCAACCAAAATGTCTTTTCCAACATCCAACTCCAGGAAGACGTGTTCATTTTTAAACAGATCACACAGTGGTGGCCTACCCAGAAACTACAGTTTCCTATGGCTATTAGTTAACAGCATCTCCCACCACTGTAAAGCAGCCTCAACTGCGAAAGCTAACAAAATTAAAAACAAAGCAACGGCCCTGATACATCTACAATTCACTTTTTAAAAGGACACTTTCACTTAGGCCTGTCTAGCTGTAGAGCATCCTTCTCTGTGCTATAGTTATTGTGTAATAGCAGGCTGTTGCTGTACCAAGTGGTACCTGCATTCAGGGACAAAATGGCCAAAACGGCCAAAACACAGAAAAGTAAACCTTTTCAATGTTTCAATGATGTGTTGATGAGAAAGTTGAATACTTTCACAAATGTGGAAGCCACCCTGACTCATCAGGGCCCCTCTGTGTAGTATGGTCCTTCAGCTCTAATCTATGAGTGCGCCCATTTTGGAATATCTACAGCAATACATTGAATACTTTAGCAGGGCACTGTTACTGATTTCATCACCTTTGTGTATTTCCTGTGTTTTTGTATTACAAGCTGGAATTAAAATTGATCCTTTTTTTAGGGCTTTGTACCTTGTGATGTACACAAGGCTTTGAAGGTCCAAAACACTGACCCAGACCAAAAAAAAAAAAAAAAAATCTTGGGACATGGAATGCAGAGATCGCTGGACAGAGTTACCATCCATGAGAATATCCGTTTTGTTTCCATCAAGGCTATATGACTCCTGGCGCCCAAATGGTTGATATAGAATGTAAGCTCAAAAGAGCAGGGCCCTCAATCCCCTTATGTTTTGCATTGTATTGGTATTGTTCTGTCACATGTTCTGTCCCCCTTTGTAATGTACAGCGCTGAGTGAACTATTGGCGCTTTATAAATACTGTATAATAATAATAATAATAATATAGGCACATGTTTGTGGCATTGTCTAACTGCACCCGAATTGGTTGTCCTCACAGAAGGGGGGGTCCAGTATTGCAGAACTATTCTTAATTACTGTGAGCTCCAGGATGTTAAGGCTCTTTATGGGTGACCATGTTCCCTGGACCACGAAGAGTTGAAACCTGAAAGAATGCCATCACCTTTCAGTGATCAGGAAAGACTAGCCTACTGTTAAAGGTTGAGACACATAAAAATAGAGAATTCCTTGCTTAGCTGGACAGGAATAAAACTGGGCAAATGGCACAGCCTCAAAAGTTTACCATGAGGCCATAAAATTACCATGGGAAATCCCACTGTGGGATTTCTTTGATCTCAAATCTCAAGCTTGTGCTCTGAGAAAAATTATTTTAATTTCTGGAAGAAAAACCTTTTCAATGGATGTGTCCTGGACAAGACTGAAGTATTTCAGGTTAAGGGAAGGCTGGATTACAGATTTTTGGAAATTATCAACCTACTGAAAGCTTGGAGCATCTGGATTGTCCTCTGGATGTTTGCAGATAGCTGGAAGGGAGATGAGTCCTTCAGGAGAATGTCACTTGTATAACCTGTGAACTAGATGCCCTAGTTTTGAGAAGGGCAAGAAAAGGTGCAAGACATTTGCAAATCTGGGAGCAGAGGAGAAGCCAAAAGGAAGTGCAACAAACTGGACCGTCTGCCACAAAGCGGAGAAAGCACTGGATAAATGGAAACATGCAGATAGGCATCTGGAATTTAATGGATGCCAAGTATTCCCTCCGTCTCAGGAAGGCAACTGCCAACCTTGCGGATTCCAAGCAAAATTTTGGAATTTAAAAAGGGTAACTGTGCTTTCATGGGGAAAAAAAAAGAAAAATATATGAAAAGAACGAAGAGGACAGTTACATCTCCTCTTAAGCTCAGTGCTCCGCTGAGTGTTTGAGGTGCAGAGTGGAGAACAGTGACTGATAGTCATTGCTCACTATTCCGAGCAGACTGAGAACTGAGCGATCAGTGGTCATGTGATCAATTTAGACTCTGTTCTTAGTCTTTGAGCCAACATGGGACAGCTGCAGCATAGAGGTGAGTATCAATGTTTGTTTTTATATACCCCAAACTTCTTTAACTGCTTCCCGACCGCCCTATAGCAGAAATATTGCTACAAGGAGGCACGGGTGTGCAAAATCATATATATACATGTGTGTGTGTGTGTATATATATATATATATATATATATATATATATATATATATATATATATATATATATATATATATATATATATATATATATATATATATATATATACACACACATACATACACACACACACACACACACACGATTTTGCATTTCCGGGTAGGGGGGCACGCTGGCGCCCTACCTGCGCCGCCATTCTCAGCTGTCAATCACCAGGCCCCAGCTGGTAATTACCCGAGCATCTCCGACGGGTAGGAAAACAGTTTTGTTTACAGTCTTCCTCCCTGGTCAGCTCAAGCACACTGCTCGGGATGGCTGTGCATAGCCATCCTGATCAGTGTGTTTACAGTGAAGCACACAGCCCCCACCCCCTAGTAAAACACTCCCTACATATAGTTAACCCTTTGATCACCTCTCATGTTAACCCCTTCTAGCACAGTGCCAGTGGGTTTTTTTTTTTTTTTTTTTTTTTTTTTTTTTTTTTTTAGCACTGATCACTATATTGGTGTCACTGGGAATGTCAGTGACACCAAGTTAGTACTCCCCCAGTGTCAGAATATCATCTGCAGTCCCGCTAAAAGTCGCTGATCCCCGCCACTACTAGTAGAAAAAAAGAAAAATCCCAGTATCTATACCGCCATTTGTAAACGCTATAAAACGTTCACGTAGACCAATTAATTTACACGTATTGGTTTTTTTTTTTTTTTTGTTTTTTTTTTTAGCAGAGACATGTCACAGAATACATTTTGGCCTAAATTTATAATGAAATTTGATAAAAAAAAAAATTTTACTGGACATATTTAATAGCAAAAAGTCAAAATAAGGTTTTTCTCAACATCATTTTTTTCATTAAAGCACAAAGAATTAAAAAAACTGCACAGGCTATCAAATACCACCGAAAGAAAGCTCAATTAGTGGTAAAGAGGACGTAAATTTCATTTGGGTGCAGCGTAGCATGACCGCACAATTGTCAGTTAAAGTAACAGCGTCGTAACGCAAAAAATAGCCTGGTCAGGAAGGGGGGTAAATCCTCAGGAGGGTAAGTGGTTAATCACTTTTAAAAGGATGCAGATCCTGCATTACCCTCATTAAAACACAAGTGCATCAGCTGATTCATAGTGAGAGTCATTCCCATTCAGAGTCACTACTACAGGTGAGGATATTCCTCTGTGGGGAAACTCATGGAATGAGGTGTGGAATATAAAGGCAAGCATGTTCAGAAAGGATATGCAGCAACCCAGGTGTAAACCATCCTATAATGAATCCCCATGGCAAAAAGGGAATGAGGAAGCACGAGAGTATAAGGGCTCTAGGTGAAGTTGTGGTGTGTGAATAGTGGTGTGATGTGATACCTGGTCATCCACCAGAGACTAAGCAGCTGAACTTTAGCACCAAGTTTGTAAAATGTATGCTGTAAAAGTGAAAAAATTGCAAACCTAGCCCGGGTTTTCAAAGTAATGGTCAGAGCTACAATGTGACCCTGTCTTATCTGCCCACCACACTGGACTGTATTTAAAAGTCCAAGCCTCGCTCAACATGGTGGGCATGAACTTGGTTTCTAAATTTTCAAACTGGAACGGCATCTTTCAAGCTTTGTTCTGCTACCTGTATTCTGGGATGCCTTTCATGAGTAGATGTTAAGTACAAAAAAGTCCTGCACCTTTTGACGTTTAAACGATGCAAATTTCAATAAGCTTTTACATACTTGTAAATGTACTTATTTAAAGAGGATGTTTACTTACATCTGATCCTTCCTCCATAATCATTGTCACTTCCTGACTCATCGTCATTTTCATCCTCCTCCTCTTCTTCCTCTACCCTCCTCCTCTTCATCATCATGACTTGATTCTTCAGCATAACTCCTTTAAAGGACATAACATTTTTAAAAATGTTTATATTCACAAATTGTTTGAATAATTTTAGTTGAACTATTTATTAGGTTTTTATATCCTTACCTGCCCCGTGAACTGCGCCGAAGAGTTGCTGGCTGACAAGCAGGACATAGCCATTCACCATCTGGTATGTTTAAAAGTACTGGCCGCAGACAGAAGAGATGGAATGCCTTGTTACACTCATCACAGAGGATCAGCTTGTCATCCTCACCTGCAGAGTGAATAAAAAACCCCCCACACAAATGACTTTGTAAGACAAGCTTATTGCAATAATACCTACAGCCACAACCATGTTACCAAGTTAGTCAAAATGGTTGCAAAGAGGTTTATAGATTTGGAGGAAAAAAAAAAAAAAATTACAAACTAAATTTAAAAAAAGAATCAAAATGTTTTCTATGCATACCTTTCTTGCGACATACTTTGCAACGGGCATTTTCTGAAGACATATCCCACTTAATGCAGGCATCTAGCATACCCAAAAGCACATGCATACGAGAGAATGTCTGCGCCTCTCTGATGGCGGTCTTCCATTTCTCTACTGCTGAGGCAATCTGCAAAAGGAAAGTGTGTAATGAGCCTGGATAAGTATATGAACCATACATAGCTGGAAGATATACCATGACACCAGTTTACAGTTTATATGCGCATTTGAATTCCAACTGAATGCATGCATGCTATTCTGGCATGTGTGCCTAAACAACCTAATTGAAGTCTTTGGCATAGATGCTAAATGGAGAAGCCCATCTACCTTCTACAAGACTCCGATTTATGACTGACCCAACTCTGATGGTTTCCTGGCAAGATTGTCTACTAGCAGTGTCAGATGCAGCCTCAATGCCACAAGGCTGTCAATATGTTGCAGTGTGTATAGTAAGTCAAGCAAAAGCAATGTATGCCAAGTGCCCTCTGACATTTTAGAGGAAAAAAAAAAAAAAAAAAAACGATCTCTGGTAATACCCTCCAGGATCTGATTTGCAGATAGACTTGCTGCAAAGGTATGAGCTTCGATCTGCAGATAATGCAATTTAAAACACAAAGAGATAGATAGCAAAAAAAGTACACATTCACTACTTAAAGGCACAAGTTTTGGGGATTTGGAGGGGGCAGAGATCACAAGGTTAATAGTTGAAAAAAATATACTATTTGAACTAGAGTTTAGTGCCACTTTAACCAGTTGCTGACCATCCTGCAGCAGTACATCTTCGCTGTGCAAAATTACACACACACACACACAAAAAAAAAAAAAAAAAATAACGGAACACTTTTTAATCAGAGTATAGCACCAAGTCAGTTAAACTCCTGGGATATTGGTCTAGTCAGTTACTTACAGGAGGGGAGTGTTAATCAGTTTCAGCTGCTTTGGTGTTCTTGAAACAGGTACACTAGATGGGCAACAATGAGACGACCCTCAAAACCGGAATGATTTTATAGGTGGAAGCAACTGACTCATCTTTTCTGTTTTTCACTAGTTTTGCATTTGGCTAGAGTCAGTGTCACTACTGGTAAAAAGCGATACCTGGACCCCACAGAGGTTGCACAGGCAATCCAACTCCTCCAGGATGGCACATCAATACGTGCCATTGCCAGAAGGTTTGCGGTGTCTCCCAGCAGTCTCAATAGCATGGAGGAGATTCCAGGACACAGGCAGTTACTATAGGAGAGCTGGATAGGGCTGTTGAAGGTCCTTAACCCATTAGAAGGACGAGTATCTGCTCCTTTGTGCAAGCAGAAACAGGATGAGCACTGCCAGAGCCATACAAAATGACCTCCAGCAGGCCACTGGTGTGAATGTCTTTGGCCAAACAATCAGAAACAGACTTCATGAAGGAGGGCCCAAGGGCCTGACATCCTCTAGTGGGCCCTGTGCTCACTGCCTGGCATCAGAGCCAGTGAACACCAGAATTGGCAGGTCCACCACTGGCGCCCTGTGCTTTTCATAGATGAGAGCAGGTTCACCCTGAGCATGGGACAGACATGAAAGGGTCTGGAGAAGCCATGAAGCATGTTATGCTGCCTGTAACATCGTTCAGCATGACCATTTTTGGTGGTGGGTCAGTGATGGTCTTGGGAGGCATATCCATGGAGGGACACACAGACCTCTACAGGCTGGACAATGGCACCCTGACTGCCATTAGGTATCAGGATGAAATCCGTGGACCTATTGTCAGACCTTAAGCTGGTGCAGTGGGTCCTGGGTTCCTCCTGGTGCACGACAATGCCTGGCTTCATATGGCAAGAGAATGCAGGCAGTTCCTGGAAAATTAAGCAATTGATACCATTGAATGGCCCCCCACTCTCACCTGAAATCCAGTAGTATACCTTTCAGGATATCAAGTTTTAGTCCTTCCAATGCCGCCAGGTTGCTCCCTCAGACTGTCCAGGAGCTCAGTGATGCCCTGGTCCAGATCTGGGAGGGAATACCCCAGGACACCATCCGTCGTCTCATTAGGAGCATGCCCTGATGTTGTCAGGCATGCATACAAGCACATGGGGCCCAAACTACTGAGTACCATTTTGAGCTGCTGCAATTAAATTTCAGCAAAGTGGACTAGCCTGCTGCATCATTTTTTCACTTTGATTTTCAGGGTGTCATTGAATTCAGTCCTCTGTAGGTTGAGAATTTTCATTTCCATCACAAGATGGGGCATCCTTACACATTACCCAGTCCATATCAGTATAGATAGATATCCACCATGATATTTTTCGCCATTTAAATCTGATGTGTTTTCAAATCATTCCTCTTTTTTTTGAGAAGTGAATACACACCATATATATTTAACTCACACACACTTGAAAAAGTATTCATAACCTTTTAAATTTCACATTTTGTCATGTTGCAACCATTAACGTAAATGTATTTTATTGGGATTTTATGTGATAGACCGACACAAAGTGGCACATAATTGAGAAGTGGAAGGAAAATGATAAAACTGTTTTCAAAATGTTTTCCAAATAAATATCCGTCCCCCCCCCCCCCCCCCCCGATCAATACTTTGTAGAACCACCTTTTGCTGCAATTACAACTACAAGTCTTTTTGGGTATGTCTACCAGCTTTACAATCTAGAGAGTGACATTTTTGCCCATTCCTCTTTGTAAAATAGCTCAAGCTCTGTCGTTTTGGATGGAGAGCATCTGAGAACAGTTTTCAAGTCTTGCCACAGATTCTCAATTGGATTTAGGTCTGGACTTTGACTGGGCCATTCGAACAAATGAATATGCTTTGATCTAAACCATTCCATTGTAGCTCTGGCTGTATGTTTAGGGTCGTTGTCCTGCTGGAAGGTGAACCTCCGCCCCAGTCTCAAGTCTCTGGCAGACTAACAGGTTTTCTTCTAAGATTGCCCTGTATTTGGCTCCATCCATCTTCCCATCAACTCTGACCAGCTTCCCTGTCCCTGCTGAAGAAAAACATTCCCAAAACATGATGCTGCCACACATAGCAAACATGTGGAAGAAGGTGCACTAGTCAGGAGACCAAAATTGAACTTTTTGGCCTAAAAGCAAAATGCTGTGTCCCCCACATGGCTTCACATAAACTGCAAACAGAACTTCTTACAGGTTTCTTTCGACAATGGCTTTCTTCTTGCCACTCTTCCATAAAGGCCACATTTGTGGAGTGCACGACTAATAGTTGTCCTGTGGACAGATTCTCCCACCCGAGCTGTGGATCTCTGCAGCTCCTCCAGAGTTACCATGGGCCTCTTGGCTGCTTCTCTAATACACTCCTTGCTCAGCCTGTCAGTTTAGGTGGACGGCCATGTCTTGGTAGGTTTGAAGTTGTGCCACACTCTTTCCATTTTCGAATGATGGATTGAACAGTGCTCTGTGAGATGTTCAAAGCTTGGGATATTTGTTTTTATAACCTAACCCTGCTTTATACTTATCCACAACTTTATCCCTGTCTGGTGTGTTCCTTGGCCTTCATGATGCGGTTTGTTCACTAATGTTCTCTAACAAACCTCTGAGGGCTCCACAGAACAGCTGTATTCATACTGAGATTACATTACACATAGGTGGACTATTTTATTTTCTAATTAGGTGATTTCTGAAGGCAATTGGTTCCACAAGGATTTTAGTTAGGGGTATCAGCGTAAAAGGGGGCTGAATAGAAAAACACACGCCCAAACTTTTCAGATTCGTAAAAAAATGTTTAAAACCATTTATCATCTTCCCTCCACTTTATGAATATACACACACACACACACATATATATATACACATACATACATATACACACACATACATATGATTTTGCATTACCTGGTAGGGGGCACGCACGTGTCGCCCTACGTTCCTGAAGATGTAAATCAACAGGTCCCAGCCAGTGATTCATGGTCAGGACTCTGATCAGTGGAGCAACTAACAGGGGAGAGGTCTGTGTGTAAACATAGATCTCTGTCAGCGGGGATATGCTGCTTTCTAGCTCTATGCAAAGCAGAGAGAACGTAGCACGTCCCCTAGTACAACTACACTAGAAACAGCACACAGGCAACCCTTTGATTTCCCAGAGATGTTAACCCCTTCCAGCCCAGTGTCCAAAAGGAAAATCGTGATATATTGTCTAACTGCATAAACCAAAAAACAACCTGAAAAGTCCTGGTTTGTCCTTACTTTGTATTACTCTGTTTTAAATAACATCATTGCTAAACAGGTCTATAAATGTACTAGTACTAATGTAAACATTTTGGATCCATAGGGGGTATTACAGGAATGAGGTGAAGTGAAGGGATTACATTATCCAGTTACATGTATCATATTTAACTATTGATATTCTTTATTTAATCGCCTCCTGCCCGCCATATAAGGTAATGATGGGCGCAAGGCGGTTCTCTCGTTCTGGGAGGATGTCATATGACCTCCTCCCACTCTAACCGCGCATACACGGGCTTCAGGGGCGTGCAGCGATCGTTGGTGCGCTGCGTCCCTCGGACACAGCAGATCAACGGAAAGAGCCGAAGATGTCAGCTTGGTCATGTGATCAGCTGTGTCCAATCACAGCTGATCACATGTAAACAGGGAAATGCCGGTTATCAGCATTTCTATCCTCACGAGCTGTCACGCCGACAGCTCGGGAGGAGTGGAGAGCCGGTAATCGGCATCCCTCAGAGGGGACATGTACACAGATCATCAGGGCACTGATGATCAGTGTAGCCCCATCAATGCCACCTGTCAGTGCCCATCAGTGCCACATATCAGTGCCCATCTGAGCTGCCTTTCAGTGCCACCTATCAGTGCCAAATATGAGTGCTGCCTTTCAGTGTCCATCAGTGATACCTGTCAATGCCCATCAGTGCCAATTTGTGCCACCTATTTGTGCAGCCCATCAGTGCCCATCACTGCAGCCTCAGCGCACAAGGAGAAAAATCACTTATTTATAAAATTTTATAACTAAAAAAAAAAAAAAAAAGTTTTTTTTTCAAAAATTCAGTTTTTGGTTTGTTTAGCAAAAAATAAAAAAAAACTCAGAGGTGATTAAATACCACCAAAAGAAAGCTCTGTCTCAAAAGAAAGCTCTGCCTCAAAAAAAAGTGACAAAAATGTCATATGGGTACAGTGTTTCATGACCGCACAACTGTCATTCAAAGTGTGACAGCGCAAGAAAGCTGAAAATTGGCTTGGGCAGGAAGGGGGTATACGTGCCCTGTAGCAAGTGGTTAAGATTTGCTGCCCATGAAAATCTGAAATGAATCCACAAAAAAAAAAAAAAAAAAATCAATAACTTAAGAAAAAAACATTAAGACATACTATACAACAATTAGGTCAAGGACTGTTCAAAATTCATCATAATTATACATTTTATTTTAATATAAAAATCATATGAAAACAATGAAAAGTGAAATGCTAGCAAAAAAATAGGAAGACTTATCCTGTCACATTCAGTCAACTTCAACCATGCAAGCAATGAACATGGACACTGTACTAAAACAACAAATACTCGAGAGAAAACCCGTGTTCCACTGCTTAAACCTTTCCTGTAAAATGGAAGCAAATCATTTCTAGCTGATTAAATGTCTGCTACTGAAACAATGTGTTTAAGCATCAACTTTAATCACTTTTCTTTCAGCATTGCTCAATCCTTATGCGGTCTAATTTTTACAGCAGTCCTTTTTAATGAATTAAAAACTTTCATAAGAAATATTTTAAAAATTAACTTCATAAACCAGGTTAAGGGAAAAAAATTGAAAAATAAACAAAGGGAAAACTTGAGTGACCTACGTGCGCCAACCAAAGTTGATTGATACACTGCTGCCACCATGTGGACATTCAATTTAGTGCCACAAGTCTAAACATTCCTGCCAATAAAACATGCCCAAGCGATGGCCATAAAAGGGGAACTCCCATCCAAACATTAATACTATTTGCACTTTGTAAAATGACACAGATGTCAAAATTAATAAAATGTCTGGCGCAAAATCAAAGGCCTCTAAAAATGACCATACACAATTTAAGCTGTGTGGGGATAAGACAAAAGGCATCCTGACAAAAAAATGGAAAACCTGGCAGCAGTGAGCTGGCACCACATCACAGCATTCAAGAGCACAAATATTTCATGCAGGGGTATAACACTGCACAGTACATTTAAAAAAGCTCAACAGAAAACACATTCTAAAATTCTCAGTAAATAAGAAATGAAAGATATTAAAAAGCAAAAAAAAAAAAAAAAACACAATTACAATATAAAATACTGGGGGCAAAAATTAGTATGAAATTCCAACATTTCACATAGATGAGAGCTGTTGCTATGCAACATACACAGTTCCTATCAAAGGCAAAACAGCAGTGGGAGCCCAGAGCAAAAAGGAAAATATGTGCCTCAGAAGGGTCTTTAGCAAGGAGCATTTGGAGAAATCTATACATAAAAACAACCATTCTAGACTGTATTGAATACATTTGCTAAGTGTCCACAACATGGTTTGGTGGAATTTTCTTTAACTGTCAAAGCCACAAAATAACAGAAGGGCAGTCAAAAGCAATTCTCAACTACAATGGTCAGAAGTTTGTTTTAAAATTAATTAATTAGCCAGTATTGCTCCATTCAGTGAAAATTACTCCGTTGGGTCAACATTTGGTGACTCTGTTCTCCAGCAGAGATGCTGGCACACTCAGCGCTACATCTTGATCTACCCCTATACCATACTATGTTGAGAAGCTTGCTAGAAAGATTAACCACTTCAAGTCCAAAACACTTTTACCCCCTTCCTGTCCAGGCCAATTTTCAGCGTTATCACACTTTGAATGACAATTGCGTGGTCATGCAACACTGTACCCATATGAATATTTTAGCTTTTTTTTTTTGAGACAGATAAAACTTTATTTTGGTGGTATTTATGCACCACTGGGATTTGTTTTTTTTTGCTATATAAATGAAAGTCCAAAATTTTTTAAAGTATTTTTCTTATAAAATTTTGCAAATAAAATAATTTCTTCATAAATCTTGGCCAAAATTAATTCAGTTAACTTTTTAGTAAAAAAAAAAAAAAAAACAAAAATTATAATTTTTCAATTTTTTTTTTTTTACATTTGTTTTAACATACTGTAACCCTAGCAGTACAGTGTCACAATAGTGACACTGTACTAGTGAGGGGTGATGAAGATTTTTTTTTTTTTTTACACCGATAGCTTTTACACGCATAAAGGCTGTAAAAGCAATAATTTCTCCTTCTCTCTGGTTGCATTCTTGCAATAATTGAGAAATACTGTGTGAGCTGTGATTGGTCACAGCTTGTCACATGGCACAAGGCTGTTGTGAATAGCCTTGTACCATGTGACCTCTAATCATTCACACATTTCACTAGTAGTAAGCAATATCAGGAAGTGACATCTTGCTTACTACTATTCATATGACCACTGATTGGCCAGTGATCACATGATCAGGACCTCACACAGAGGTCCCGTACAGTGATCTGTGTTCCACTGTGTCCGGATCACGGTGCCGCGTACTACCAGGGAGTGCGCACATGCTGTAAATGCAGGCGCCGTTTATGAACAGCAACCCGCTGCTTCACTGCTCCCGTCCAGCTGTTTATGTACATGGGCCGGACAGGAAGTGGTTAAAAAGTGAAAATGCACTTTAATTCAACAACCACATCAGTTCCAATATTTTGTAGACTGCCTTTCAGACATGTGCACAGTGCTGAGGGGAGCCTGTAGCAGCATTTTCTATTGAGGCACTGAAGAAAATGTATAGCGAACCCTTATAATAACTTTATATTACAAGTGTTTATCAAGGACGTCCTAAAAACAGAGGTCAGCATACCTTGGCTTCCTCTGCCATCCTCTTCTCCTCATCCTGTTCCTCTGCTTTGGCTGCTGCCTCCTCTGATTGAGGCTTACGCTTTTTCTGCTTTGGAGCCATAAAACCTTGCAAAAACTTCTTAATGACAGCAGCTTGGAGAAATATAATGCACTCTCCAAAATCTTTTAGATTCTCCAAGGAACGAACCTGTCAAAATACTAGAAGTTAAAAACAGAAGCAACATCACACACCGTCACAGATTAAGAACAGACAATACCATCCCTGTTTCATACCCTGGCTTCAAATTCTGTTGCATCATCCAGATAACCCAAGCCTCCCTTCTGCAGTCGTGTGGCAACCTCAACAACATCACTCCTCAAGAAATTCAGCAACTCCTGGTGTCCATCACATGTCTTAAGACCCAAGTTCTGCTTGCGAGCGAGATGAACGGAATGTAAGATGTCTTGATATCTGCACATAAAAAAAAAAAAACAAAAAAAAAAAAAAAAACGAAGGAACTCAATCAGCACATAATGGGGAAATATACACTGAGCTGTACATAATAAAAATATATCAAGATTGGTCTAGTGATGCAATTAACCTCCCTAGCGGTCTGATTATGTCCATATTTCTGAGCTCAAAGCAGTACATTTTTTGCATGGTAATATGTATTTTTTTTATTGTAGGCCTGAAATTTTTAGGAATAACTTACTTAAATCTGTCCGAACAAGAGTCTAGTAAACATCCCGGGTATGATAAAACTTGAAACACGAAATCAAATTATAAATTTAATAATTATAAAAAATAATATAATAAATTTAATTCAATAATATAATCAAACCAAAAACAGTGAAATCTGAAATATAGCACCAAGTTTGCACATCACTGAGCAAAGTCGCAAAATAGTTTTCAGTGTGATGACGAATTTCTCCACAAATCATTATCACTCAATTCTGCAAGTGGATCTAATTTACTATCGCTGTTCTCTAGCTGGTCTAAAACCGCTTTTGACCTAAAGGGACGCTTTTTGGACGCCATGGACAGAAAGAACAGTACAAATGCAGGCAGGGCACAGGACAAAGCACTAGGGACAAAATGTATGTGAAATGCTTTGATACAGTAATGTTTTACTATGTGATTTTAATGAAAGTCACGTCATTTTCAACTTTCCCGCCGTTCCGTCCCCCGTACGTCCCAACGCTCGCAGGGGACGGAACCCAGACAACAGATGCCGGCATCCACCGGATTACATTGCTGGGGACACTGCAGGAGGGACATCGCAGGAGCGCAGGACAAGGTAAGTGATCGAGGGATCGTGGAGCAGCGCCGCATGGTAAGCCCGAGTATAACTCGGGGTTGCCGCTTGTGGTACTGAAACTTTACCCCGAGCTACACTCGGGAACACCGCCAGGGAGGCTACGGAAGAACCCTCCTGAACACATCGAGCTTCTATAGCAGGCTTCTCTGAAAATGCTAGTGCCTTGCTGCCTACGGTTTCAACACTTTTCAGATCTGCCCATTTGCTTTACTGTCGCTAACATAGAACAGAGCCACTGATCTGCTCCCAACTGAAAAAATACTACAGGCATCACAGCAGCCCAGTGGCAGCCAAGGAAACAGTATTTCCAGAAGGAAAGGTCAGCAATGCGAGTCAAAAATTATTGACACAGCCTTGAACTTGAGTATTGGTCAACTTCCTAGCTAAAAATCAATTAATCCAGCAATGTAGATTCCGTGGTTCTATGGGAGCACAAGACGATTAATAAAGCTTTTTAATAGTGTTTATATCAATAGTATTCGATAATAAAAACAAATATTCATTTTAAAGGCCCATACATATTTTTATGTTGCATTAAAATTACCTATTTATTGAATGGGCCGACAAGCCACAGCTGAGCCATGTCACACATGCACCATGTTTTCTGATGCAGCACGTACGGTGTGTTGTGTATGCTGCATTTCAGGTGCATTGTGGTAACATGCAATAAAACTTACGCTTTACACCCCAACACGTGTGAATGGGACCTTTATATTCAGGAGCAAGGGAAAGTACACTTTTGTACAAGCGCTGGTCTGGAGAACAAATTAAGCACTGTCTAGGGCAGGGGTCTTCAACCTTTAAGACATAAAGAGCCACTTGGACCCGTTTCCGAGAGGGAAAAAAAAGACTGGGAGCCGCAAAACCATTGCAACATTTAAAACAAATCCGACACTGCATATATTGCAAAAAGCGCTCTGGTCATGAAGGGGGTTTAAGGGCCCAGTAAGCAAAGGGTTAATCAGGGCCACAGTGTATCGTCATAATCACAATCATAGCCTTAGGTCAGTGGTGGGCAACCTTTTTTTTCAACTGAGCCAAATCTCGCCAAAACCACGATTTAAATTTATTTATTTTTAAAACTGAAAATACATCCCGCATATAGTAATTCATCCCCCCTATAGTAATTCATCCCCCCTATAGTAATTCATCCCCCCCTATAGTAATTCATCCCCCATATAGTAATTCATCCCCATATTAAGTCCCCCGTGTCCATTCACTTACCTTTGCTCCGCGCGTTCCTCTCGCCGTGTTCCCGCGCCGTTCAGCATGAAAATCTGTCTCCTATGAGGATCTGTCCCCCTCGACGTATCTGCGCATGTGCCAGTTTCAAGCATTAGCAGCCGCTCGGCGATCTCCGGCACATGCGCAGATACGTCGAGGGGGACAGATCCTCATAGGAGACATGCTACATGCTACACCGGTCTTCAGGGCGGACTGTGAGAGGAGCCTAGCGGGAGCCTAGCTCCGTGGGCCGGATTAAAAGGTCAGCCGGGCCGTAGTTTGCCCATTGCTGCCCTATTGCCTGTCACCTGGTGGGCAGTGTGCTCCGGAGCCGCAGCCAAGGTGAAAAAGAGCCGCGGGTTGCCGACACCCGGTCTAGGGTATACAAAACGAGACTGCATGGCTACATTTGCTTAAGGGGATCTGTGACTATGCAGATCGTACTAATGGGTTATTCTGTTTTATATTAAATGGCAGCACACAAAGTAATTATTTTGATGCCAAACCTTTTCTGTAGTCTCTCCTTTAGTTGGTTCTCTCGAAAGCCTTGAGGATGAAGAGAGTCCAGAAGCTCATCCAACTCCTTCTGTGCATCACATACAAACCTAAGTAAATCGAGAACAAAGCTCAGCAAATCACAGATATTGCGTGCTCTTCTTTGTCCAATGCACATATAAACTCTGCCCAACACCCTTGTAGTTTGGGCAGCAAAACACACCTCTGGAGAAGTGAACCAGCAGCCATAGTAGGTAGATGGTATATTGTTATACAACCTAACACTGAAGTTCATAGATCAACAGAAGTAATAGGACTCACCAGAGATTCTGCCCTTGTTTAGGCACTGTGCTCTCCACTACTTTCTCCTCTTTCTGAATGGAATCCTCTGGGCCATCAACACTGCTGTCTGCATCTTCACTCTCTATGTTACCCATACAGTTTAAAATATAAAAAAATTCAGGTCAAAAATTGCTGCAGATATACATACCATGGACACATGATACTGATAAAGAGAAAAACAGCATTAAGTTAACACAATGCAGTGCTGGAAATCATTCAGTAGAGATCTATACATAATATTGGGCTACATTCACACACAAGTTTTTGCCACTGTACAAATGGCAGCAACAGGTACAGTATCTCCTGATTCCTGCTTTTTGACAGGTGTGAGCAGCTAGCTGTGGCTGCCAAGCATGCGATGTCTAGTATGCCATTATTGCCCAGTGGCTATAGCCACCAGCAGTAATCACTATCTCCAAGCAGAGATGTCTCCCTGAGACCCCCACAGAGAGCACACAAAAGCTCAGAGGGAGGGATACCCCCGTCAACACTGACTTTGGTTGCAGGAAAGCGGAAAAAAAAAAAAAAAAAAAAAATCACATCAAATATGGCCTGCCTTACAGACTTGACCACAAGATATACCACCTTTGTCAACTGCTGATAAAAGACAAGGGATATTAGATTTTTCTGAAGATATGAACTGTAGCATCTTGACTGTGGTAGCCATATACAAGGGAAAATGCTTACCGTCATCAGGTTCCTCTTCCTCCTCTTCCTCCTTAGGAAGACTGAAGCTATAATTTATACTGTCATGTACCCAGCCCTTCTCAATGAACAGTCCAGGAACACCATCCGAGAACAGCCAATATCTATTAATAAGCAAGATTTTTCAATGTTAAAACTGTGAAGCATACAGAAGACTTTGACCCTAGACTTACAGGACAAGATATTAGATGGTAAAAAAAAAACCACATTTGAACAAGAAAGTTTGGGTATATCTACATATATAAAATAATAAAAGGAAAAAGAATCAAAGACCTTTTGAAGGTGGAAGAAAAAAAAAAAAAAAAGGCCACAATGTATTCTGCTACATGTCTTTGCTAAAAAAAAAAAAAAAAAAAAAAAAAAAAAAAAAAAAAAAACAAAAACACAACTCAATATGTGTAAACTAATTTGTTTACGTGAAAGTTATAGCATCTACAAATGACGATACATGTATACACTGGAATTTTTTTAAGTAGGTGTTGTACTCACAAACAACAATATAGTCAAGGCACATAAAGAACAGCTGGGTCAACACCGCTGAGTAACAGTCCGCAATAGGGAGTGTAGACATCCAATAGGCTGACGCGTTTTGAGGGCTCTGAGGAAGAGGCAAGTCCTCGAAACGAGTCAGCCTATTGGATGTCTACACTCCCTATTGCGGACTGTTACTCAGCGCGGTGTTGACCCAGCTGTTCTTTATGATGTGCCTTGACTATATTGTCATTTGAGTCATTATCATTGAGTACAACACCTACTTTATTTTTTATTAAACATTTTTTATGGTAATGCACTAGGCCTGTGTTCCCTCTGACATTAGTGGCACAGGTAGGGCGGTGTTCATGCACCCTACCCGGAAATGCAATACGCACGCACACGATTTTGCGCAGCCCTGTAGCAGTACTTCTGCTATAGGGCGGAGGGCAAGGGGTTCATCATAATGGATTAGAATATATGCTGCACCTTCAGGTCACTCGACACCACTCAAAGCTTTAAACATTTCTTCACAACCACTCCCACCAACCAAAAAAAGGCACAGACTCCCGTGCCCTGTATTCCAACAAAAATTGATTTTTGCAGGCATTTCTTTTCTCTACAGTACAGGACACAGATCTTTAATAAGAGATGGGACATCCCAAAGCAGTATTGGAGGGTTCTCCTGAGGAAGTCATGTGATATGACACGTAGGGTGGGCCGATGACGTCAAGCCGCTAAACCAGAAGTTTACAACTCACCATCTTGGAATTTCCTGAATGCATTGGAGTTTATTGTGACAGCAGTTTTTACTGTGGTGTCCCAGCAGGACACTTAACTGTGAGTGAACTTAGTTTTTTAAAATAAATTATACAACATGGCTACACTATAGCAAGCGTTTATCCCGCATATCCTCCGCATATGTAAACAAAGAGGAGACGAGATCACCTGCAGCAAAGTGAGGAGGAGAGTGGAGCTAACACATACCTACCCGGCTTAAAAGTGAAAGATGCTATTTGACCTATGCTATTTGGGTCATAAAAAAAAAAAAAAAAAAAAAAAAAAGAAAGAAGGAGGTGAGAGTATATATTTATGTCTCTGGTGGAGGAGCACCTCTAAGAATATATGTGGACACAAGGAAAAAGGAGCACCTGCTTGGCACAAAAGTTATATATGCACGGATACAATCACATATGAAAGACTATAAATTGTGGTCATTTTATTCATGTTTAAATCACGTTTGATGCACCTAGTAGATTGCATATAGTATATGGAAATATATGCGCGGCACTAATATAAGATATGTATTGGAGGGGAGATCAACTAATATGCAACAACAATTTTATAGCCAACACACCCTCAAGCTCAAACTAGGCAAACCAAGATCAAATAGCCAGCAAAACCTCACAACTGAAACTGGCATCAGCCGAAGCTTGAAGATGAACCAACAGACCTGATAGAAAGCAATATTGGGACGAGGCAACCCCCTAAGCTTGAGAGAATAGGCTCAAGAAAATGATCTTGTGACCTTACCTGGCATTTGTGGAAGATGAAGTATCCTTTTTAGCTCCTTCAGGCAAGACAAAGACCAAAACAAGTCCAAGCAGTGGAGAGCTGCCTCCTTTGAATTTTTTTTTAGGAGTGGAACATTCAACAATCTGGCAAAGGCCAGGGGGCTCCACTATAATGGGAAGAAGGTCCATAAAATAACTATTGGCCAATTTGGGGCTACCAGAATCATTGGAGGTCTACCTCCCACCTGCACAGATGACCTGGTAGCAACGGAAGAGTGGGTGGGGGAGGCACAAAGTTGATTCCAGATACTGCTTGTACTGGACAGAGTCCCAGCATTGACCAGTCTCCCTAAACACCTCTGGTTTTAGCTACCATTCCATCTATGTCATTTTCAAATGACAAAAAAAAAAAATAAATCCGTAAAATCCTTTTCTTGGGAGCACATCTTGGGACATAGATCGTTTTCATATTCATGACGAAAGATTTTACTGCCACCTTCAGGTGATTGTAACAAAATTGGAAATTATAAAGCACCACACCACCAAGAGGTTCAGATACAACTTTCAGAAGAACAATCCAAAAAAGTATCCGACATCTCACTGGGTCCAAAGATACCCCCCTTCATCAGAGCTTGAAAAGAATAGACACCCTAGGAATAAACTGGACCATGTTCTTTCTTCCAGAGTGGATACAAGCCTAGTCAGCACAATAATATGAGGGGTGGTAGCAAGCCAATAGACCCCATACTAAACCAGATGGGGGAGAAGCCCAAGCAGCTGCTCACAAAACTCAACCAAAAGGCATTCTCAGGGGCTTGAACATCCACACAGAAAAACTTCATAAAAGTAAGAACTGAATACCAGGTAGCAGCTTTACAAGCTTCAGCTACTGAAGCAGGCTGAATAGCAGAGGAAGCACCAACACTCCTGGTAGAATGAGCAATCGATGGAAATGGTGGATCTTTGCCCTTTAGACCAAACATTTGAGAAATAAGAAGACAAATCCAAAGAGAAACGGTAGATTTTGAAGCTGCATTACCCTTTTTTTGGGTTCATCAGGAACCACAAAAGAATTAGATCAATAATTGCAGTTGTTGATACTAGGTGCGTGTGGAAGAGCCACATCCAAATTGTGAAGAACCTTGCCCCAGTGTCAAGAACGGGTCTTTACAATTGAAGGCAGTCAATTCCAAAACTCATCCAAAGCAAATAACCTGAGTCAGGACGAAGGGAATGTCCCAAAGTATTCAAATGAGACTTCTGTAAAATATAATACTAAATTGAGGTCCCATGGAGTCAATTGAGTCTTAACCAGTGGAACGAATATACGTGACCCCTTGTACAAATGCATCCACAAAGATGTGAAGCAACAGGCCTCTGCAAGAACCACCAAGGCAGAAATCTGACCTTTGTTTGTACTCAAGATCAATAATTGGTTGACCCAAGGTTGGAGAAATTCCAGAATGCAGCCTAAGACAACTACAAAGATCAAGTCCAGGCAAAATAAAACTTCCCAAGTCCTATGATAAATCTTCCTTAACCAATTGCCCTCCAGAGGATTTACCCCCATTCCTAACCAGGTAATTTTTTGCGATACGGCTCTGCGTCACTTTAATCGAGAATTGCGCTGTCATGCAACGCTGCTCCAAAATGAAATTTATGTCCTATTTTTATCCCCATAAATAGAGTTTGATTGTATTTGATCACCTCTGTTTTTTTTTTTTTCGTTCTAAAAGAAAGAATTAAAAAAAAAAAAAAATACATTTTTGAATTTTTGCTATAAAAACATCCAGTAAATAAAAAAAAAAAAAAAAAAAAAAAAAGTCTTCATACATTTAGGCTAAAATGTATTCGGCAACATGAATGCTTAAAAAAATAAATAAATAATCTCAATACATGTACATTAATGGGTTTACTTAAGAGTCAGTGACTTCTAGCAGGACGAATTCTGACACTGGGGAGGAACTAACTGCCACCGACATCTCAATAACACTAATATAGTGATAGATGCTAATAAAAAGCACTGACACTGTACTAATGATACTGGGCAGGAAGGGTTTACATCTGGGGTGATCAAAGGGTTAACTATGTGCTATGCTTTACTGTATGTGCGGTGTGTGTGTTTTACAAAGTAAACATGCTACTGTGTATTTCTCTGCTGTGTGGAGAAGTACAAAGCAGCATGTTACTGCTGGCAGGAGAGAGACCTGTGTTTACACACAGGTTGTTCACACCAGGAACCGGTGATCGACATCTGTAGCCGCCAATGGTGGCCCGGGTCCCTTCATACCCAAAAATGCAAAAATCTGGTATATACACACACAATTTTATGCAGCCCTGCAGCAGCAGTTCTGCTATAGGGCGGTCAGGAAGTGGTTAGAGACACTTTCCTAGCCTTAAACATGGTAGGAATGACCCAAAACAGACAACCCCACGTCTTGGAACCCTGGCTTCAACAGACATGCTGTTAAAGCCAGCAGCTGTAATGGACAGAACATTGGTCACTGTGACAGAAGGTTGGGTTGATCTGGAAGGGACCATGGTTTTCCAGCAAGGTAATGTCGTCAAAGTGTCACTTCCACTGGGCCAAGGCAGGGAGATTAGAATCAGTAGAATGCCTTCCACACTAATCCTGTAAAATAAAATGTGGTAAAAGCTGTACCAACAGGAAGATATAAATCAGCGAGACTAACCCTGCTTACACTGAAGGCTGAGACGCATGGGTAGCAGCACCTCGAGGTCACTTGGACCATAGCCATCTGCCTCCAGGGATGTTGGTGAGCAGCAAATACCTAAACAGAGAGGCTATGCTACACTGTGTCACAAAGAAGGCTACCATCTTTCCCAGAACCATCAATACAAATATGAATTGAGAGATCTGTCAGCATCTTCAGCAAGTCCACCTCAGAGCAAGAATGATCACTTTCACCTAGACAGGATCCAGGGTCAGACCTAAAAATTCAAACATCGGTGTTGCAGACTACTTCTGTAAATTCAGAGCCCAACTACACCTCTCTAGAATGTGCATCGTTGGAAGACATATTGGACTCCAGTAGTGGAACAGATCGCTCACTCAGAAGATGTCCAGGTACCCTATTACAGGGATACCCCAGTGTATG